GGGAGGGAGGAGTTGGGTCTTCCAGCTTTCCTTAAACCCTCATTCTCCGTCTGACATTTGGGGTCGGGGGTGGGGGGGTAGGCTGCCTGATTGGGGTCTGGGCTGTGGGTGGGTATTGGGCCTTTGGGGGCGATTGGGGGTGGGGCTGGTGCTCGGGTTCTCCCTGGATTGTTTGTTTGGATCCTTTTATCAGGGTTCCTGGTTCTGATGGCCAGCCCTTTGGCTGGGGTGGCTGCCGGGTTCTGGCGGGAGGTCAGCTGTGGTTGTGTGTGTGTGGTCGTTGGTAGTGCATGGCGGCGGTCGGGGGCATGGCTTCACTTCGACGAAGTGCTGGCTGGTCGCCCTGATGTGACATTCACGGTGCGGGGTGCTGTGTGTGTGTGGTGGTGGTGGTGGTTGCATGGGTGGCATGCCGGGGCTTCTCCGGGCCTGTGGTGTGGGGCTTTAGGGATGCATTGGTGCGCTGGGCCGGTCTTCCTCAGCTGCTGCTCCCTGCTGCTCTGGCCCCGGCCTGGGGCCGGCTTGCGGTCACTGTTGGGCAGGTGGGGCACATGGACGGCCCAACAGAGGCTCTGTCGGGCTGTCTCTGTGTGCCTGTTTGTCTCAGGTTGGGTTTTGGGTGGCCCCCCTCTCTTGGACCAGTTTTGGCCCCCCATTTGGTGGGTTGTGCTCCCCCCCGGTGGTGGGCCCCCCTGCCGCCGGTGCATTGGCGGCTCTCAGCAGCTGGGGCTGGGTGGTGGGGTGTGTGCAGGCCCGCCCTGGTGGCTGCCTGCGGGGGCCTGGGTGCCCTGGCTCTGTCGGGCCTCTGTTGGGGGGGTGGTATGACCTCGGGACTCGGTGTCCATGGCCGGATCCACTCTGGAGGGGCAGGTTGCCGGCGGGGCCTGTTGACTCGTCGCTACGGCCTCCTGGGGGTTTCTGCATTGTGGTTGCTGGGGATCACCCAGGGCTTCCCTTTGCTTCTCTCTCTGGGGGGTGCTGGTGTCTCTGTTGGGGGACTCCCGGAGTTCCAGGCTTGGGGGCCGCTGTGTGTCTGTGGTTCCGGGCTTCCCTGTGTTACCTTCGTGTCCTACGGGGACGGGTTTATGGGTCCCCACATCCACTATTGAACATTATTATGAGAAACCTTATAGTGATAAGCATGCTCACACAGGTGTTTAGATTCAGGTGTTTATCAGATACACACTCAGTTGGGTTGTGGTGGCCATCAAATATATATTGTATTACCATGTAATGTATAAAATACTTTCTAATGATGTTATAACTATCATTATATAAGTTGTCTGTTGTTGTGGTTACTTGGTTTTGTCTTTTTTTTTCTCTCTTTCCGCAGGTCTAGAGGCAGACTTCAATGATGTTGATTTGTGTTCTCTTTATCCCTCTCTTTCTCCTTTATTCCTATCTCATTCTTTACATTTTAACTCTTCTCTCACTTTTCTGCTTTGTTATCTTCTTTGTTTTCCGTCCCCGTGTCCATTACATCTGAAACAAACCCAAAGCATATTCTAATAAAATTTAATTTATATATCAAGTGGAGCATTAAGGCCAGCCATAATGCTCTGCTTGTGAAAGTAAATCTGTTGGGCATCACTTTGACACTGAGACAATAATTCTAAGTGTCACAATGTCGGACAGGACAAGGGGAAAAATAAATAAATAAATAAATAAAAGACACTACAATGTGCACTACAATGTCCACTAAATACACTACAATGTACATTAAATACACTACAATGTAAAGTGTAATGTATATTAAATACACTACAATGTACACTAAAGACACTACAATGTGCACTACAATGTACACTAAATATACTACAATGTACATGTAGTGAACTAAGCCTCAGGTCAAATCCTGACCTTGAGGGCCTTCCTGGGACAAGAACTGTATTTCATTGATTTGAGTCCAGAAACATAAGATTAAGTTCATCCAGAGACTTTCTAAGTGTCCTGCACTGATCAATTGAAAGAACACTCTCTTTTTCTATTATCATTACTATCTTACAAATGTCTTGATAATCAAAGTGTGTTTAGTTCAAACCATTTTTAAATGTTGAAGTGAACTACTCATTTTAAATCAACTGTGAAACAGTATTAGTGATTTTTTAATCCTCATTCAAAGTAGAAATCAAGTTAAGGTCTGTTACAGAGTAATTATGCATTTTCTGATTTTCTGTCTGAAATGAGCAAGTGTAAGTTGGTCCAAGGTTGGAGTCAAACGCAAACAAGTTGTTGGAACGAACTGTCATGTTTTTAAATCCTCTCAGACGTAAATAGAGAAGCTGGCACCTGTTTTCCCCCAACTCGCCTAAACATTTCTCTCGTCTGTCTCAAAAACATCTTCTGTCTGTTCCAAAACAATTTTTCTGTTTTTCTGACTTCTAGTGACCTCTTACGTCACAAAAACACACCCCTGATTAGCTATTTCGGCCAATCAGGACTTCCCAGATGAACCGGAAATAGAACTCTTTAAATGTCGGCACTTCCTAGTTCCAGCAGTCGAGTGCGGTGGGAGAGCAGTTCAGTTCGGAGAGCAAACCGAACAGAAGAAGTGCTGGAGAGAACAGGAGGTTCAGACATGATCCGCAGTTCTTCCGAGTCTTGTGGGAATTATGAAATCTTCCACATCTGAGTGGAGCCTCTGACGGACTTACTCCTCTTGTGAGTCCACCAGTGGGGTGAACCTGTGTCGGACGGAATACCGTCACTACTTCGGACGATTCACAGCTGTTCCTACGGAGACGCTGAAAGGGTGCGTTAAACGGAACTCCGTACCAGTGGAGATACCTTCTACAGGTAAAGAGTCGATTTACATTACCTAAGTGTACCGAGGAGGAAGCTGAGATCTTAATGGAGCGTGCCGTTCTGATACCGACACATATTCACTCATCCATCTTTTCCTCTCCATTTAAACTTCATTTCCATCTTTAAACTCTTCTATCTTGCCAGTAAATCATTCCAGATATTTTCAGAAATGTCTGTTGTGAAGCAGGGAATCATGGCCGTATGGTTTTCCTGACTGTAAAGCTAATTAATTATGTTGTTGTTGAAATCAATTTGCCAAATTAATGTAAATGTTTGATGTTAAACTTTGATTCTGTTAATAAATGACCGCATTCATTTGATGGGTCAAAGAAAATTAACGTCTCACGTTACATTTAATTATTCAATGCACGATATTATTCAGTCCAGAAAAATGAAAGAATCCGTTTAATTTATGAATATATCACAGATATATGTTCTTCTACATACACTACAATGTACATTAAATACATTACAATGTAAAGTGCAATGTACATTAAATAAACTACAATTTAAACTACAATGTACACTAAATACACGACAATGAACACTAAAGACACTACAATGTGTACTACAATGTACACTAAATACACTACAATGTACACTACAATGTACATTAAATACACTACAATGTAAAGTGCAGTGTACATTAAATACACTACAATGTAAACTACAATGTACACTAAATACACTACAATGTACACTAAAAGCACTATAATGTGCACTAAATACACTACAATGTACAGTACAATGTACACTAAATACACTACAATGTGCACTACAATGTACACTAAATAGACTACAATGTACACTAAATACACTACAATGTACACTAAATACACTACAATGTACAAACTAGATTCCAAAAAAGCTGGGACACTAAACAAATTGTAAATAAAAACTGAATGCAATGATGTGGAGATGGTAAATGGACTGTACTTATATAGCGCCTTTTTATCTTATTTCAAGATAAAGCACTTTACACTACAATCTGTGCCTCAGTTACCCATTCATACAGCACTCTACTAGATCATTACAAAGCTAATTGAACAAATCATTCTAAAGAGACTAATCAGTGCTTTAGATCACATTCATACACTGATGGGACACACATTGGAGGCAATGGGGGTTCAGTGTCTTGCCCAGGGACACTTTGGCATGTGACTGCTGGTGGATTCGAACCCCCAACTCTAGCATTGGAGGACAACTTCTCTAACCACTCAGCCACAGCCGCCCCAAAGATGATGGCAAATGTCAATATTTCATTCATAATGTAGCATAGATGACAGATCAAAAGTTTAATCTGAGTAAATGTAACATTGTATAGGAAAAATATGTTGATTCAAAATTTCACTGTCAACAAATCCCAAAAAAGTTGGGACAAGTAGCAATAAGTGGCTGGCAAAAGGAAATTGAGCATATAACGAACAGCTGGAAGACCAATTAACACTAATTAGGTCAATTGACAACATGATTGGGTATAAAAAGAGCTTCTCAGAGTGTCAGTGTCTCTCAGAAGCCAAGATGGTAAGAGGATCACCAATTCCACCATTGTTGCGCAGAAAGATAGTGCAGCAATACCAGAATGGTGTTACCCAGCGTAAAATAGCAAAGACTTTTAAGTTATCATCATCAACCGTGCATAACATCATCAAAAGATTCAGAGAATCTAGAACAATCGCTGTGCGTAAGGGTCAAGGCCGTAAAACTCTACTGGATGCTCGTGATCTCCGGGCTCTTAAACGTCACTGCACCTCAAACAGTAATGCCACTGTCAAGGAAATAACAGAATGGGCTCAGGAATACTTCCGGAAAGCATTGTCAGTGAACACAATCCACCGTGCCATCCGCCGTTGCCAGCTGAAACTCTACAGTGCAAAGAGGAAGCCATTTCTAAGCAAGCTCCACAAGCTCAGATATTTGCACTGGGCCAGGGGTAAAATGGAAGACTGTTCTGTGGTTAGATGAGTCACGATTTGAAGTTCTTTATGGAACACTGGGACGCCATGTCATCCGGACCAGAGAGGACAAGGATAGCCCAAGTTGTTGTCAATGCTCCGTTCAGAAGCCTGCATCACTGATGGTATGGGGTTGCATGAGCGCTTGTGGCATGGGCAGCTTGCATGTCTGGAAAGGCACCATTAATGCAGAGAACTATGTTCAGGTTCTAGAACAACATATGCTCCCATCTACACGTCATCTCTTTCAGGGAAAACCCTGCATTTTTCAACACGATAATGCCAGACCACATTCTGCAGCAATCACAACATCATGGCTACGTAGGGGAAGGATCCGGGTACTGAAATGGCCAGCCTGCAGTCCAGATCTTTCACATATTGAGAACATTAAAAATGGTAAAAAAGTGGTAAAAATGGACTTGTCCCAACGTTTTTGGGATATGTTGACGCCAAGAAATTTGGAAACAACAGATTTTTCCCTTAAAATGATACATTCTCTCAGTTTAAACTTTTGATCTGTGATTTGTGTTATATTCTGAATAAAATATTAGATGTTGGCACCTCCACATCATTGCAATCAGTTTTTATTTACAATGTACACTAATACACTACTGGGGTGGCTGTGGTTGAGTAGTTAAAGCTGTCGTACTCCAATGCAAGAGTTAGGTGTTCGAATCCACCAGCAGTCACGTGCCGAAGTGTCCCTGGGCAAGACACTGAACCCCTCATTGCCTCTGATGTGTGTCCCATCGGAGTATGAATGTTATAAAGCAGTGATTAGTCTCTTTAGAATGATTTGTTCAATTAGCTTTGTAGATCTAGTAGAGTGCTGTATGAATGGGTAAATGAGGCACAGATTGTAGTGTAAAGCGCTTTGAGTATCTCCATAAGATAGAAAGGCGCTATATAAGTACAGTCCATTTAAATGGACTGTACTTATATAGCGCCTAATTTACAGTCCATTTACTACAATGTACACTATAATGTAAACTACAATGTACAAGCAGATTGACATGAGTGTCTCTTCTTAAAATACAAACAAAACATTAATAAAACCATCTTTTTTCCTGTCTTCAAAAACCTCCCTTCATCATTCAGTGCACTGAGAGACAGCAGTTCATTTAAAGGACAGACAACACGCTGCAAGGTAACCTTAGTTGATTTGTCTTTTGCAGAAAAAAGACAGAAAAAGACAAATGCAAGTAAATACAAAAAAAAAAAAAAAAAAAAAACAGTTTCTGTTGTGAACAACAAAGTCCATGCTCAATAATCCAGGTATACAATCCAACATTTTTCAGTCAGGTCATCTGGACAGTTTCTTTTTTTGTGCTGAAATGTTTCGCCTTTGATCCAGAAGGCTTCAACAGTCAAGGAAACACACAACAAAACTGATTCTTCCCCCAACAGCTTACTCCAAAGTGGAACAAACCAGTTCTGCTTGTGATAAGATGGTCTCTTTGGTACGCCCCCTCCTCCATTGCCAGCCTTCTTCCTTGTTGACAGTCGTGCCAAACTGGTTGAAAACAACAAAGTCCATGCTCAATAATCCAGGTATACAATCCAACATTTTTCAGTCAGGTCATCTGGACAGTAGGGCTGGGCCATGTATCGAATATACTCTAGGGATGCAACAACGAATCGATAAAATCGATAAAAATCGATGATTAAAAGCGTTGGCAACGAATTTCATTATCGATTCGTTGTGTCGTGTGATTATGCATCTCTCACGGCGCTGCAGAGTTGTTTTGTTCACGGGCAGTTCATTGTCAATGCTGACTGACTGAATAAAGTTTGAAAAAAAAAAAAAACAACAACTCTGCAGCGCGAGTTGAACAGAGCTGGGGGGAGTCGGAAACAAAGCAGAGGCGTGTATTCAAAGGAAAATAAGTACATTTTACAAATGACCAACGCAGCGAAAACTGTTCGACCCAAGTCCTTTAAAGTGTGGGAGAACTTCACAAAGATAAAAAATGAGAAGCATGCCGCTTTGAAAATCGCCGACACGACACGGGAGAACCATGGAGATAAACGTAAACATGTCGGAGTCACGAGGAGGAGGAAGGAGATCAGCAGCTGATACATGTCTTACTCCCAACTCGTGTTGCAGGTGAGTCTCTACAATATTCACATTGTTTTGTTTCCAAGTAAGAAAACGTAACGTCAGTCTGTCTGGTAGATGAAGCTGTTTGTTTTCTGATTAATGACGGTGATAGAGAACGTGTGTGTTACTTTTTATTTAATTTAATTGGTACAAGCAGTGTTTAAATGTGATTTATAAATAAATCTAACACAAAGATAATAATTTAATGATTAGGCTTCAACTTTTAATTTGTTGGCAAAGTCTGAAGACACTGCAGGTATGGCAGGATGAATTGCATTTAAACAGGAATTAAAGTAATTTATTACATCTACTCAAATGTGTGTAATTAAGTATTTTATGTGTGTGTGTGTGTGTGTGTGTGCTTAATTGCTCTTTTAGCTACTTTTGCCTGAACCCAATACTGTAAGTGAAACAAGGCATTTCTTGATTTGCTGTAAATTATGCTATAATCAATCAATCAACCTTTATTTATACAGGTAAATCCCATTGAGCCTCGAGGACTCATTTACAAGAGAGACCTGATTTCAACAATAATACATATTTACTCTCTCATTCCAGAAAACAACAACAAACAATGACAGCCTTCATGATGGACAGACATCATGGACACCACAGCAGCAGCTGTCTTCACTGAAATCATCCTGAACACGATTGTCACCGACATGAGGCCTCTGTCGATGGTTGAAGACAAAGGCTTCACTACAATGATCCACACTTTTAATCCAGGTTACAATAATCCACACTTTTAATCCAGGTTACACTCTTCCCTCAAGGACACATTTTACAAAGTAACTACATATTGTGCAGGTATAAAGACACATTTGTATATATTTTTGTGTACATTTATTTTTCTAAACTAATTGACTAACTTTTATTTTTTATTATTCAATATTTTACTAACAGAATAGTCAAATAGCAACCTGTTTTTGTGTGAATTGCTATGTCAGTCAAATGTTCAATTTTGGAATAAAGGGGTGGAAATTAAAATTGTTATTTTTTTGCAGATCATCTATTAATCGAAAAATAATCGATTATTGAAATAATCGTTAGTTGCAGCCCTAATATACACGATGTGTCTCGAGTTTTTCAATTTACCATGGTTAAAATGGCTCTATCACAACCATCGAGTATAAATTGCCATTCAAATCATAAGCTTTCCACATAATTCACTGTGAGTTTTGTTTATCCAACACGCTACAAATGCATCGCTACTCCCTGCCCCCTCCCAACCTGAACATTTTCTGCATGACACCCTGTGCAGAGCATGCGCAAATAGACTTGGAGAGAGGAAAAAATATGGCGACAGCAGGAGATTCACGTGAGCGGGTGAATGAGACAGTAACTGAAGAGTTCGATGAACTTGTTCCAAAGAGAATCAGCACTGGATCAATAATCTGGCAGTGGTTTGGATTTTATAAAGAAGATGTCGAACAAAATGCGGTAATTTGCAAAACGTGTCGTAAAACCATTGCCACGAAAGGAAGCAGTACCACAAATTTACTTCACCACCTAAAAAGTCATCCACTGCAAAATAAAGAATGTAGTAAACTCCGTATGTCCACGTCTCCCCACACAACAAAGAAAACATTAAATAATACAGCTGTGAAGCAGATGATACTAGCTTCTTCGTTTGCCAAAGCCATCCCGTATGAGAAAAAAAAAGTACAAAGTGGAGAGAAATCACTGACGCAGTAACAAAATATATCGCCAAAGACATGGCTCCTGTCAGTGTTGTGGAAAAGCCTGGATTCAAAAACCTTATTAAGACTCTTGATGC